TTCTAAAACAACTTTGATTCCTGGTCAAAAAGTTACCGCGTTATTGTGCGTATATAACCACGTTATTTACATAGAAGTTATTGGGGGTATATTTTTCAACAACTTTTCTTTCGGAGTCAAAAGTTACCGTGGTGTTTGTATTTGAGTAATCAGCTCTATTGTGCGTATATTACGTAAATGAAACAACTTTTTTTCCGGGTCAAAAGTTATCACGGTGTTTGTTCATTACTTATCAGATCCGCAGTGCTTAAATTACCATCTTATTTAAGCCGATATTTTTTAGGCCAAGTAGAATGCAATAAGTCAGCAAAAAGAGTTTTTTGGCTAAAAGTTATCATCGTTGTCAATGCACGGCAAACTTGGCCCAATACTTAACAATATCAAATAGAATGACATGTATTGATTAGACAAGAAATGATGTGGGACGAGTTGGTTAGTGTGGTGAATCCTCCTTTCAAGAGACCAGAGTTCAAAACCTCAGAAACACAGATTAGCGGGTTCTAAATCTGGAGACCCTCGCGTGCGGGGGATTAGCGGGATATAAACGCGTGGGTGAAAAAAAAAGATGATTGTGCGATCTAAACCGCTGCGCTAGTCTCGACCGTGAGATGCGAATTGTGCGGCATCCGGATCGTGCGGATCTGTTGCAGAATTTCATACGGCAGGAATTTAGCTTTGCCGTCTTGTATTAGGTTATAGTCTTATAGAGGAGGTACTATATACAAAACGAGTCTCTCCGTCATGTCCCCATATGCCCATTTGAAGTATCCACCCGTAATGTGACACCCTATCTTTAACTTTTTCATTGTTAGAGCATCTCTAATACCGACCCTTAAAACACCCATAACCATGTAGACCACGTGGTCCGGATGTGTTTTGTTATTCAATGCAGTCTTGCATCGGTCTGTAGGCCGGTGTGGACGTGTTTTTTTACCGCAAACAGGTGACCGGAGGGGGGGGGGAGGGGCTTTGTGGGCGTCCGAAATGGTGCCATGCTCGCGTCTGACTAAGCCAGCCCACCAAACACTCTCCCTCGCCCGCATGCTTTCCTGCTCGAAGCCAGCTGGCCGCATTAACGGCGGCCCAAAACGGACATGACCGCTCGCTGGCGCCAAAATTGAAGCAACTCGCCGGCCGAGAACGCTGCCCGCGCCGCGTCCCCGGTGTATGCACCTGTTCAATGCTGGAGAGACGTTTACAGGACATGACAGAACGGATATCTACCACACCCGTTCAATCCCCGTCTCTCCGTCTACCACCATCAAACAGTCTCGCCGGCCGAGGAACCAATTTCGGCCCCGCGCATTGACGCACCCAAACGCTTTGCATCACAGGAAACCGCTATTTAAGAGCGGCCACACGCGGCTCACAACACATCCGCTCCACATCCTCCTCCCGTGCACTACATCCGTCATGACTGCGAGCGGGAGCGCTTTGTGGGACAGTCTGCCGACGGAGCAAAAGCACGAGGTTGCAGCCAGTTGCGAACCCCAACTTCAACGTCGAGCGGCACGCACTCTACGAGGCTGCCCGCGCTCAAGCTGCCGCTCGCACGACACAGGCGCCTTAGTTGGACGCAGACGCGGAGACAGTGTTGGCTGCGCAGGCGATCCTGGATCAAAACACCGGTAGTTGTGCATTGTACACTCTACCAAACACTGTTTGGCCGCGTCGGTGGGACGACGAGAGTGCCGACGGCCCCTCCATTTCCATCATGGACCTCACGTCCACCGGCGACGAACAGGTCACGAACTCCTCCGAGGATGAGTACAGCATGGAAGGCGGCAAGGCATTGTGTCCCAAGTGGGCCGGTCCATCTCCCATGTTCTACCCTTCCTCGTCAGAGACCGCGCCTTCACTTCACAAGTCTTGCCACCACCATTCATGAAGACGGCGGATGGAAGAGACGGCCGCCGGAAGGCAACAATAATGACCGTGCTCCGATTTTTATGAATATCGTCCGGTTTGTATGAATCCCATCTGATTTGTTTAAACTTGGTTCCAAATATATGTGGGTATCATTGGATAACCGGCTTCGATGGGAACTGGCCACGGATGCGAAAATAAATTTGGTGGTGAGCGTCGGAGATGCCCTTACACCCTAAAATGCTCTTCTACGTACGTGAGCTTTGCTACACGCACGGAGATATGCCAACGGGCTTTTACAGGGAAGCTTATCT